CTTAATGTAAAAGCTAAAATGATAAAGCTTCTAGAAGAAAACGGCAATTCTTCATGATATTGAAGTGGCAAAGATTTCTGGGGACACAAAAATCACTGACCGTGAAATTAAAAATTTATGAACTGGACTTTATCATATTTAAAAGACACCATCAAGAAAGTGAAAAGGCCAGGGGCGCCTGGGTGGCTCAGTTGTTAAGCGTCTGCCTTCAGCTCAGGTCATGATCCCAGGGTCCTGGGATGGAGCCCCGCATCAGGCTCCTTGCTCCACGGGAAGCCTGCTTCTCCCTCCCCCCTGCTTGTGTTCCCTCTCTCACTGTGTCTCTCTCTGTCAAATAAGTAAATAAAATCTTAAAAAAAAAAAAAAAAAAGAAAGAAAGTGAAAAGGCCAGCCACAGACTTGGAGAAAATGCTCACAAATTGATCTCTAGATCTGGCAAAGTCCTATATGCATAAGAGAGAAACTTCTACAAATCAGGACAAGGAAGACAAACAGCCCAAGTTTTAAGAAGAAAGAAAAAATAGGCAAAAAACCTTGAATAGACATCTCACAAAAGAAGCTATCTCAGTGGTCAATAAGCGCATGAAAAGATACTCAGCATCATCAATCATGAGGGAAATGCAAATTCAAATCCCAGTGAGATACCACAACATATCCACTAGAATAACTAGAAGTAAGAAACCAATACCAAGTGTTGGCAAGAATGAGGAGCCACTGGAACTCTCACATGCTCCTGGTGCAAATGTAAAACTGTACAGTCACTTTGGAAAACAGTTGGCAGTTTTTAATAAACTAAGCATACGGCTACCCTATGATACAGCAGTTACACTCCTAAGTATAAGCACTCAAGAGAACGAGCACTTATCTCCACCAAAAGACTTGAGTATAACTTATACTGCTGATGTTAATTTTGCCCCCTAGGGAAGGTGGTGTCTGCCAACCTTCTCCACTTGGAAAGTTACCATTCTCCCTTGTAACTAATAAATATATTGAGGGAGATAGTTTAAACTATGCAGATATCCTGATTCTTCTCAAACTTTTGTGTATTAATTCCAGCATCCATCAATGGATCTTGCCTGCAACAATTATTCTTATGGGGTACTGATGGTGATTTTCTGTTTCCTGTATTCATTCCTTCAACATTTATGAATTGGAGTTCTTGTGTAAGGGAGATCTGCCCCCCACACACACCAACCGCCCCTGTATTTATTTGTTTATTTGTATCAGTATGGACTCATGAATAGTGTCTTCTGTGGGTTACACTCTATCATTACTGATTTTGTGGCTTAAATAGTTTCAAGGATCTTCTCTGCCAGGCTCTCTTTCCTCAGCCTCTGATCATTATCGTGTTATTATTTCTTGAAAGTTTAGTTCCTAGATGCAGGTGCCTATCCTTCAAATTGGGGGAAATGTAAAAGGTTTTAAAAGATTCCAAATAGTTTGTGTTCCAGAAAATCCAAGAAACCCAGAACTGGAAGAGCCTCTCAGGAATGAACATTACTGGCATGCTGGGTAGCCTTCCTGTTCCCCTTCACACCTCTCCACCCTTCTCTCTGCACCTGGGGTTTCCCCACACTGATGACATCATGGGCTCCCTGCCTCAGCGTTCTGGGTGGTGTATGTAGCCAATAGGAGACACCAGCAGTAAATGGGACAGGCGGAGAGAGAGGTGAGGTATTTATTCCCTTGACTCTCCTCTTAATGAAAAGATTTCTTCAGGCTGGCTGCGTCCTTCCACCAAATGTCCCCTCCCCTATATGACACACTCCTTCCAGGTTTGGGAAACTGTTTCCCTGTGGTCCCTTCACACTCGGAGATGTTAACAGCTTGTCTGATACCAACCCTAGGTAACTACACCGTCCCTCTTGGTTCCCCTAGACCCCGCCCACAGCTTTGTCGCAAAGTCCCGTTTCCTGTTGGAATTTTGACCAATAGATCTCATAAATGTCTAAGGCACTTAGAACATGTGGTTGTCCTGAGTAAAGATTCTATAGCTTCCCTCCATTGTTAATCACATCAACAGTTATTTTCTTAGCTCCAGACAGAATCTTCTCTGCCTTCATTTGAGCCCCATTTTCTCTTTCCTGGCTCTGTGTGATCCTAAAAAAAAAAAATTGCTGCTCAAAATCCTTCTCATTGCAAACTATTCAGTTGAGAAGAGTAGTTTCCACCTCTTAGACTTCTCTGCTGTTCTTTTAACCAGAGCTCACAGAAAAAAATTTTCTTCCCTTTGACCCCCTCGCTTACGTGCCTTTGGGCCCTGTCTAGCTCCTCCACATCATGAAATAAAAGGATGGCTTAAAAATACAAGGGTGGGGGGTACAGCCGTGTTCATAGCAGCACTGCTCGTGATAATCAAAAGGTGGAAGCCACTCAGTGTGCGTGGATGGATGACTGGATAAATAAAAGGTGGTATAAACACATAGTGGAATATTATTCAGCCTTAAAAAGGAAGAAAATCCCCATATACGCTATGACGTGATAAACCTTAAGGACATTATGCTAAGATTGAAATAAGCTTACCACAGAAGGACAATACTGTATGATTCCACTTACATGAGGGACGTAGAGATGCATAGAGACAGAAAGCGGAGTGCAGGGTCTGGGGGAGAGGGAATGGGGAGTTAGAGATTGATAGACACAGAGTTGCAGTTTTGCAAGATGAAAGGAGTTCTGGAGATGGTGGTGATGGTTGCACAACAGTGTGAATGCACTTAACCCCCTGAACTATCCACTTAAGTGTGACACGTTTTGGGGCACCTGGGTGGCTCAGTCGTTAAAGCATCTGCCTTCAGCTCAGGTCATGATCCCAGGGTCCTGGGATAGAGCCCCGATCGGGCTCCCTGCTTGGCGGGAAGCCTGCTTCTCCCTCTCCCACTCCCCCTGCTTGTGTTCCCTCTCTCACTGTGTCTCTCTCTGTCAAATAAATAAATAAATAATCTTAAAAAAAAAAAAAGTGACACATTTTATGTAATGTGTATTTCACCACAGTTTTTTTAGTACCAAAACAAAACAAAAAATCATGGAGGGGCTCCTGGGTGACTCAGTAGGTTAAACGTCAGCCTTGCCTTCCGCTCAGGTCATGATCTCAGAGTTCTGGAATCGGGCTCCCTGCTCAGCGAGGTGTCTGCCTCTCCCTCTCCCTCTGCCCCTCCCCCACTGCTCACGCTTGCTCGCTCTCTCTTTCTCTCTCAAATAAATAAATAAAATCTTAAAAACAAAACCATGGGGAGGGCATGGGAGACAATAGGCTCAGTAGGTGTGGAGCTCCCATGGCAGGTACTCCCGGGGAACTTGGCTTAGGCGCCGTCTCTTCACACAGACTGAGCAGAATAGCATAGACAGGAGTCAAGTGAACAAGAATCAGGCAAGGAATTGGGAGGGATAAGGAAGAAGAGAGAGTATGTGTAAGTGATCAAGGCTTCATGGATTCAGGAAATGTTTAAGGACCAACAAATATAAAACAGAGAAGATGGGGTTGATAAAGAACAGCTATTATAGTCACTTGTAAGTTTTCATTTTGACTAAGCAATCCCAGTAATCCCAGTAATCCCAGGGTCCCGGAACCTCAGGAAAGCAGCTTAAAGCCCACATCCCTCCCATGAACCTGCTCTGTCTGGGGGCACCTGGTGAAGGGCTCGGCTTGGCTGGGTCCGCGCTCACGCCCTGGACACATGCGTAGCCGGCCCTTTCCTGGGGTAGTGCATCACTAACTTGACACCACATTTTTCATGTCTTAAAACTTGGAACAGATTCCATCTGGAAAGCATGAAGCACATGCCCGTTTACAGAGGCGGTAACCCCGTCTCAATTATGATACAAGCCTCAACTGCTTAATGGCGTGTCTCGCACATCTATCACTAAAACATGGCTGCCGTTGACTGAATGGAGTGTGTGTGTAGACAAACTGAGTGTAAGCATGCGGAGCTGCAAAATTCTCCCTCCACATCCAGCTCACACCCGTCCCTGTGCACGTATCAGACCAAAGTCGCCCAACCAGATTATCTTAGACAAAGATTCATTGGCGGCATTAAAACGTATCTACAACTTGAAGTATTGAGACTGTTAGTGCGTTCGCAAAGTGTCGGGTTTGGAGTACTGACCTCAGGCCCTCTGAGAACAGAAGCGTGTGGGCAATGGTGACTCAGCTCTTCCTGAGGTCCCCACCCTGATCCCGGCCACTCTGCCCGCTCGACCACCACAGCTTTCACCTCCAGTTCCCCCTGAAGACTCATAGGCCTGCGTGTGGCAAAGGGACCCGGATCTGTGAGGCTTAAGACATCCAGCCAGCCGCCTGGGAAGAGCGTAGGCTCTGGGCGGTGAAGTAGTCTCTGATGACTTTGGGCTGTAAGAACATTCCTGGATTGTTACTTAATTTTTTGCATCTGTGTGCCTTGACTGTCTAGGGAAGTGTAAATGCCTTAAAGGATGGACTGTGGATTATAGTTCTTTCGGGCCCTGTTTTGTCCTGGCTGCATGCAAGAGGGGTTTGTGTATTTGAATGAACAGATATATAAATGCTGTCTGTCCTTTACAATGTCACGGGCACCTTGCAGGTTTAAGGTCTGAGATAAACAGATACTTCATTGAGCTGGGTCTAGACAACAATTGTCAAAGCGTGATCTGGGGACCCCTGGGGGGTCCGGGAGGTCAAAACAACTTTCCTAATATTAACACATTCTTTGCCTTTTTTTTTACTCTGGTGAATATACAGTGAACATTTCTAGAAGCTCTTTTGACTTCTGATGACAGCACGTCTCTGACATCTATTGGAATGAGTGCTTGCGTATTTAAGATTTCTCAGTTTGGACCCGCGTACACAAGAGCTCTGCAGTGTCCTCAGTAATTGTTGAGAGTGTAAAGGGTTTTGCTGGAACCAAAAAGTTTGGGAAGCTCTGGGTTCAGGCTTGTGGGTTAGATAAGAACAAAACGGTGACACCCAGACAGACCTGTAAGAAAGGTCTAGAAGCAGAACAATAATCATCTGTTCTTTTTTGCAGGAAAAACTGCATAGAAAATCTAATGGATGAAGATGAGAAAGACAGGGCAAAGAGGTAAGAAGGCAGGGCTTTCCTGCCTCGGCGCGTTTCATGTGGTCTGCCAGGCTCAAGCATGCTTGTCCTCGCTCCGCATGGATGAGAGCACCAGCAAGCCAGGCTTGGGGGGGTGGGGGTGCGGGGAGACATGCTCTTGGTATCCACTGTCCTTGATATATTGCAGTTGCTCTACTAAAAAAGAAATGTATACCAGCTCCCTCGATTTTGTTCCTTGTCCTGAAATTCCTCATCGTCTGGGACTTGCCAAGTGGTTTTATTTTTCACATGTTTGTGTATTAACCCTGGTGACCCGGGTCTCCTTTCAGAGGCCACTGGTTACCACTTTTCCAGCACAGACACTGCTCGGGAAGGCAGCCTGGCTGGAACCAGGCACGCCTGGGTTCAAATCCTGGCCCCACTGTGGGAGCTGCCTGGCTTGGGACAATAACAGGAATCATCTTTCCCACACATTGAGCACATAGTAATAATCATCCTCGTGCACTAAGCGCTTCCATACACCCTGCCTCAGTTTCTTCATCCGTACTTGGAGATCCCATACCTTATGTGGTCGAGGAGTTGGCCAGAAATTCTAGCTTGGTAGCTGGTGTGTCCGAGCTATTATAACCCTATCCTTGCTTATTCCTCCACTGGCCATTTACTGAATACCTACTGTGTGTGGAGTCATGGAGTTGACAGTTTGAAGGAAAAGAGCCTTCGAATATTCTCGACGTCACACAATCCGCCCCCAGGGGCAGTTACTGTGCTAGGCTTCGGGGAAATAAAGGGGACATGAGGAGGACACAGGTGAATGGAGGCAGTTGGTAGGTGACTACAGACCATCAGGCTGCTGGTGATAGGCCTGGCAATAGAGTGTGCTCTCCGGGGAAAGCCTTCACTCAGGCCGAGGACGAACCTTCTTCCTCTGGTCTCATCTCTTTCTGTTCCCGCCACTGTGTGCGTGTGTGTGTGTGTGTGTGTGTGGCAGGTCCCCCAGGCCTCTGTGACAGGCTCTCAGACTGCTGCAGAGCTAAAGGGTTTGCCTGCTTCCCTTCACAGAACCCACTGCCTGGTTTTCACTTAGAGAATCCTCCACTCGTAAATGGTGGAGCCTCAGAGGTCCCCCAGTTCGGTGTCTGCCTTCCATGGCTCCCGTTGGGGGGAAGGGTGGCAGCCATGAGAACAAGTCCTCAGCCACTCCAGACCCGCCGGCGGTGAATTGCAGGGCACAGGGGGAGTCTGCCTTGCTTGTCAATTTCCCAAGTATTTCCTTAGAGAAAAATCAGGGAGCAGGGGAAATGGCCAGAGGTATGGGTGAAACATGGTGGGCCCAGAGCGAGGATTGTTGAAACGGGGCAGTTCATCGTACACTTATCTCCACCTTTCCATGTTTGAAGATTTTCTCGGGGCACCTGGGTGGTGCAGTCGGTGGGTGTCTGACTCTTGGTTTCGGCTCACGTCATGATCTTGGGGTCTTGAGATGGAGCCCCATGCCAGGCTCTGCGCTCAGTGTGGAATCTGCTTGAGATTCTCTCTCCCTCTCCCTCTGCCCCTCCTGCTCATGCTATCTCTCTGTCTCTAAAATAAATAAAATCTTTTTTTAAAAAAAAGGAAAAGAAGGGGCGCCTGGGTGGCTCAGTTGGTTAAGCGACTGCCTTCAGCTCAGGTCATGATCCTGGAGTCCCTGGATCGAGTCCCGCATCGGGCTTCCTGCTCGGCAGGGAGTCTGCTTCTTCCTCTGACCCTCCCGACCCTCCCCCCTCTCATGTGCTCTCTTTCTCAGTCTCTCTCTCTCAAATAAATAAATAAAATCTTTAAAAAATAAATAAATAAAGGAAAAGAAAATGTTCTCCAATAAAAATCTAAATAGACAACAATTCAAATAACACCCCAGTTTATTCTGAAGTAACATGCTCCCCACAGCGTTGCTTCTCAAACCTTATGCCACAACCTCCGAGGGTCGCAAAATCCGTGTGGTCCCAAGTAACAAGTGGATGAACAGACTAACCCAGACCAGACGAGAATGGAATCCTCCTGCCCTCTCTCATGGGCAGGCTGGCTTCCGGTTCTTCCCTCTGGGTGTTTGGCCTCTTGGTCTCCTCGCAGGGAGCCGTGGATTGGGTGCAGAGGTGGACACCAGCCCTGTCCCAGCTCGCGAATTCCAGCACACCCTCCCCTCTCTCAGCTACCACTTTCTCACCTGCAACACCAGGCAGTCACTTCCGCCCTGCCCTCCTCCAGGGTGATTAATACATTGACAGGGTATTCTTGTCAGCATCATGAAAAGGTCAGCAGTGATGGCCGGCAGTCACAGAGTGCTTCCTGGGTGCCCTAAGCCTTTGATGCTAAGTACTTTTCTGTGCATTCTCTCCTATCATCTCAACATTCCTTTGAGGTGTATTTCACTGTTATTCCCATTCTATGGATGAGGAACTAAGGCTCAGTACCTGGTCAAACATCATAAAGCTCGAACAAGTGGCAGAAGTGGAAGTGAACTTTAGGCTTCCTAATCTCAGACTCTGTTCTTATTCCCCGGACCACGAGCACATCCCTTCACGCAGGGACTATCAGCCTTTCTGGCAGGCCCAGACTGAGCGCTCTGTCGCAGCGTGACTCTGAAGTCAGTGGGAGTTTGCTTCTGCCATCCTCATCTTCGTGTCACCTCCCGGCCCCCCGGCCCCAGCCCTGCCTCCACTGCAGTGCTTACCTCGAAATCCAGAGGAGATGAAATTCTCCCATACTCAGGGGTCACCAGATAGACACAGTCCAATAAAATCTTAGCTAAAAGTTCTTAGCAATAAATCAGGTCTTATGCAGTTTCTTTCCATTCATTCCCACTCCTGTTTGCTTTGAGCCGTGGACACCCACACCCCCACACTGCCTGTTTGGGAACCTCCATGCACACATACGGGGTAGTGAGGCTGCTGGCTAGCCCTCACCCCCTCTTGACCTCAGAGGGGGAAACAGGTCTAGAATGTTTGGTAATACCCAGATCCTTTTGCCAGAATACCAGCAGTAATGCAGCGGCCCTCATAACACGTGGGAAAAACCAGGAAAAAACAACCACAGTCCTAAGATTATATCCGTTTTGAAGCTTCCCATTCTAGCAGGCTTTGTAACAGCATGAGAGGCCCTTCCCCTAATCCCACCTGGAGGCCTGATAGGAATAGTTTGCACTCAACATGGGTTTTTTTGATGAGATTAGAAATGCTCGGCTTCAGCTCAAAACCCTTATTGTCTGCGGAAAACACGCGCTCTGTTGGGCAAGGTTTCCAGAGCTTTAGGGAATTCCTGGTTTGTTTGGATTGTTTGATCAAGTATTCTGAACCAAGACAAGTTCCACTTTCTTCTGTGAATTCCCCTGCAAATCCAGGGAGTATTGAGTGCCCATTGTGTGTCAGAACTGTTTGCTGTTTTCTTGAGGGAAGATGCAAAAACACCAGCCTTGAACTCAAAAAGGAAACAGTTTGATGGAGAGACATTTGGAATCGAGGTTCCCAATGGACCATTTTGTGGTCCAGTCATACACCTGCATTTCTAATTCTGGTGTGATGTAGTTTTGTGGTGTGTGTGTGTGTGTGTGTGCGTGGTCATCCAGGAAGCGGTGTGACGGGCAGGAAGTGCACAGCTTAGAATGAGACAGGCCTGCTTTGACTCCTGACACTTTTACTTTCTGTCCTCAGATGAGCTACTGCACTTCTCTTAGCTGCGGTTTCTTCCTCTGTGAAATGGGGGTGATGATAGCCCCAACCTCTTGGTAGGGTTCCTGCAGAATTAAACGCAGCTGCGTGTAAGCCCGTGACACACTGCGGAGGGCACGGAGCTAACAAGGAATGCTAAGGTGTCCGGAGCCCTCACTGTGGGCCTGCAGCATTTTGCAGGCATGACCTCTCTGATCCTCACAGCAACCCCACAAGCTCGGTTATCATTAGCCCCATTTTACAGCCGAGAAAGCCGAGGCGTGGGACCACACAGTCCCAGTCAGTGCCAGGCAGGGATTCAAATTCAGGCAATATTCCAAGACTGGGCTCCTAACAACATCTCATGACAGTCAGTAAATGGGAGCCTTTTGGCTGAGCATGTGCGCAAGGGGTAGGGGGCAGAAAGTGCCGTAGGAATCCTCTCTTCCCGAAGAAAGCCAGTTTCTGTAACTTTGCAGTATTGTAAAGTACAGCTTACTCTGTGTCGTGAGAGAACAGAACACTAAGAAGAAACTCATTCGTGGTGGCCTCTTCCTTTTGTCCCATATTGACTAGTTCGTCAGCATTCGTTAAAGTGACATCATCTCCTACCAGCTGGGAAGTTTTGTTTCCATAACCGTGTGTATTTGTGTTGCGGGAGGGAAGACGGGTAGTGAGATTAGATTAGGTAGTGCCTTTTATTAATAAGAATGAAGAGTGTCAGGCAAAAGGAGCCAATTCTTGGGGTTCTCGTTAGGGTGAATGCTGGTTTGCACACACAAGCTAACGTCAGGCAAGAGGGAGATCCAGCACCACAACCAAGAGCCCATACATGCACTTTTGCAGAAGCCGAGTGTTGCAGAAGGAAAAGCTTTAGCCATTGGGAGGCTGCTCATTTCTCCTGGTTCCCCCGGGGGTACTTTATCAATGTGGACCTCTCAATGACTGAGGGCATTCAGTCACCCTCCCATCAATATTTGTTAACTAAGTAATATACTAAGCAAGTGGAAGAAAAAGAGGGGGATACATAGCATTACCTTGCCCTCAGAGGGCTTTGGGCAAGACAGAGAGGCATTCTGGAAAACAAGCATAAAGGAGGAAACATATCCTGCAGGGTCTGTGTTGAGCAGAGCTGGGATGATGATCAGAATTCATAAGCTCTATTTCTCAGCCAAGTGCTCTTCCGTGGAGAGGAATATGGTTAAGAGGAGGAGACCGACCTCGTTTTATTGTTTCATTTCTCTGGAGGTAAATTCTGTAGGTCTGAAAGGAAAAGCTGGTCTGATCCATGAAGGTCGTAGCCCGCTTGCAGGACTCCAGCTCCACGCATGCTTGCTGATG